CTGTATGGATGAAGCTGTGATAGACACAATCCGAACTCTGGAGAACACAGGCGAAAAGCAATATCAGGATTATGTCAAGAACGTACTTGAAGATCGCACACGTTCTATCCACGACCCGATCAAGAGGAATTCTCTAGCACTCTTCAAAAAACCTCATAGCAAGACAACATCACGCCAGGGGAAGAAAGTCAAAGTTCTTCAGAACAACGTCGCACTTTTTAGTCAGCTGTATATTGCCATGCAGAACCGGGATGGAATTTGGGTGAATTCTTTGCCCATGAGATTCAGTCCTTCCCACCTTCCCTCTCAGATTTTGGCGATCTTCATTTGCCAAGCGCGAAGTCTGAACTACTACGATGTCTTGAGCAGCCTGCACAAACCGAACCGCCGTCAACCTACAACTGCAAAGTCCTGGATGGTGCTGTCATCGTTCACTGCCTTCCTACTGCTGCGGCGAGTACCTTCGATGAGTATGCGGATAAGGTGTTCTTACCGTACCTAGAGAAGCAGCTGCAAGAGTCCAGAAGGTTAGATATTGTGTGGGATACATACATTTCAGATAGTTTGAAGGAGTCTACCAGGGTAAAAAGAGGCAAGGGTGTACGCAGAAAAGTGTCTGGCCAGACCAGGTTGCCTGGCAATTGGATGGATTTTCTTCACGACTCAACCAACAAGAAGGAGCTGTTTGCCTTTCTTACCACCAAAGTTGAACAGTTCAATTGTCCAGCATCCACAGCTATGTATGTCACATCAGGACAATCGGTGTTGTCCATTAGTTCTGGTAGTCCAATGCAGAGCTGTAACCACGAGGAAGCTGACACCAGAGTTGTGGTACACATATTACATGCACTCGAGCACGGAGAGAGGACTGTCCTAGTGCGTACTGTGGACACTGACGTTGTTGTCATCCTCGTTGGAACATTCCACAATCTAGCTGCAGTGCAACCATTGCTCGACATCTGGGTAGCCTTTGGCACAGGCAAGAATTACAGATTCTACAGCATCAATGCAATTTGTGCCAGTCTGGGGGAGCCACGGTCACGTGCACTACCCGTGTTTCATGCCTTTTCGGGTTGCGACACTACCTCTGCCTTTAATGGTAAGGGCAAGAAGTCAGCATGGCAGGCATGGCAGGCTTTTGAAGATGTTACGGGAACGTTTGTATATCTGGCTTCGCATCCCTTTGAGAAACTGTACCTGGACTCCGAATCCTTCCAGAAGCTAGAGCGTCTAACTGTAATCCTGTATGACAGAACCAGCTCACTGAGCTCTGTTAACGAGACCAGAAAGGAACTCTTCTGTCAGAAGAGTCCACCAATGGAGAAACTTCCACCGACTCAAGACGCCCTACTTCAGCACATCCGACGGACAGTCTACCAAGCTGGAATTTGGACTACCAGCACACAAGCAGAGCCAGTGGTTCCATCCCCACAGGACTTTGCATGGACCAAGGTTGCAGATTCTTGGGTTCCAGTTTGGATGACCATGCCAGAAGTATCCAAAGCATGTAGAGAGCTGATCAAATGCGTATGCAAAGGAGACTGTTCTAAATGTAAATGCGTTAAGGCAAATCTAGACTGTTCGCCACTTTGCAAGTGCAAATGCAAACAACACTAGTAAATATACCGAGAACAAATAATCCTAATAAAGGTAATAAAGCTATCTGCAAATTTTTATATATCCACGCATTTTCTCATAATGGTTTAACGAGGCTCCCTACAGTTTCCATTATGTATCATTGTTTTGAAAGGTTATAAGCTGAGGAGATTCTTTCATTACTCTTGGCATTACAATAACAACATGACGGCAACATTTATCTAGCCTATATTATCAAAAAAACTATCATAGTCGAAAAATCTATGGTGACCTATCAATATTTTGCCGCAAGTAGATTATTATAATAATTTATATACATATACTATATATTTCGCAAAATTATATATAATATTTTATTTGGCGGAATTTTCCTTTTGCCAAAAACAGTAGGGAGCCACCTTAAGTCTAATTTTTCACACAGCGTTTGTGAGTCAGCAATTTTTACAAAAGATTTATTCAGTTACAGTTAAACATATGTATCAATACAGTGGTATACTATAACAGGTACAGTGACTTATAAAACTCTTAAATTTACATTATCGTTACTATTAAAATTCAAAGAAACGGGAATTTTGGTGAAATAAGCCGCCATCTTGGATTTAGTTGTCGTGTTAGTGCTGATAAAATCTAGGGAGGGCTCCTAGGCTAAAATTAACTGTTATACCCCAAGGGGGCGCTGTCCCAAATTTGGTGCTTTTATCCGCCCGGTAACAATAATTTCAGTAAGCCACCTGACTATAGGGATGTTGATTGCTGAAACTGATGGTGTTGAGGCATGCCCTGAGAAACTTGATATGGTGGATGTGAAAATTGGTTAGACTGTGGCCCAGTCTGTATTGGCCCAGTCTGTATGTGTGGCTGTTGACTTAGCAGTCCAGTTTGATGCTTTGGATGTGGTTTTGCAAAGAGGATTTCCATTTCATGTACTATTTGGTGAATTTTAAACTTCACCACAGCTTGTTGCAATTCAGGAATTTTTTTTACACTGATAGCCATAGAATTAAAAAATTCTGTTATCTCATCTGGTTTATCAGGTATAGTTTTGCGACTTTTCAAATATTCCACAATAGATAAGTCAACAGCATTTTCAGTCGAGTTTTGTCGTCGCTTTCGGGAAGAGTAGGAAGCTATTGATGACGAGGGAGTTGCCCCTAAAGATTGTGATAAACCAGGGGAAGGTGTACTAGAGGCAGATGTATCTGTGGACAACAGCGAATCTTCATCATCGGATCTTTCTAACTCTTCCTGCCCATTACCCACTGAATCTGATCCCTCTTCGGGTGTATCCAGGTTAGTTGATGTTCTGGAAAGAAAAAAGGGAATAAAATTAGAATGAGGCTGATTTTTTGTAGATATTTGAGAAACATAGACCAGATCTTTCCATTGATACAGAGACAAAAATTCAGGTCTGACCGGTCAGACCATTAAATGGAAAGCATCCCAAGAGAACATGTGGGTTTAATTATAGAGTTATAGGTATATGTACATGTAGCACATAAAATTGCTGTTTACAATGTTTTGGAGAGTTGGTTATAAAAAATTGCCTGAATATTACCTCATTTTTAGTTCACTTTTAAGTGTATTAATACTGCAATAAAGCCCTTTTTCTCTAGGACACAGGACAAAAGAATAGGCATATATACTTACTCTCTGTTTTGAATGAATGGGATAAGAAATCCAAGTATTCCTGCATACTTGTAGCACCGAATGTTTTTCTTGGCACCATCTCCACTCTTGGATGTATTCTTTTTCCAATTATTTTGAAATGCATCCCTTATATTGGTCCATTTCTTCTTAGCTGTTTCTCCTATAAGGTAATTAAAAAAAAATAAAAAATTTTAGGTTCCTTGCCACTGGAGATTCTTACAAAACAATCTCCTTCAGCTACAGAATTGGCAAATCAACGATTGTCAAAATTGTTCCAGAAGTGTGTGATTGGCTTTGGAAGAGATTACAACCACTACATATGCTAGTACCTAAAGAAAATGACTGGACTAAAATAGCTAAACGTTTCCTTGCAAAATGGCATTTTCCAAATTGCATTGGTGCCCTTGATGGCAAGCATATTGTAATTCAAGCTCCCCCAAACTCTGGGTCAACATTTTTCAATTATAAAGGCACCTTCTCCATCGTTTTAATGGCACTGGTTGACCATGAGTATCATTTCATCTGTATAGATGTAGGATCATATGGAAGTAACAGTGATGGTGGTATATTTGCAAAGAGTGAATTAGGAAAGGCCGTAGATAACAACCAACTTCACATTCCAGCTGATAAGCCTCTACCTGGTGCACTTCATCTTGGAAACATGCCTCATGTGATTGTGGGTGATGAAGCATTTCCATTGAAATGCCACATTATGAGGCCATATCCTGGGAGTGATTTGGATGATAGCAAGCGAATTTACAACTACAGGCTTTCTAGAGCACACAGAATAGTGGAGAATGCATTTGGTATACTAGCTGCTAGATATACCAAAGAAGAATTCAGTTACATCCAAAGAATGTAGACAAGATTATAAAGGCTACATGTGCATTACATAATTAGTTGCAAAAAACCTCATCTAGTGCAGCCAACTCAGAGGAAATTGGATATGAAACTAGAGCTGCAGCCATACAAGCTCTGCGACTGTCAGGGAACCGAGCTTCAAGAGAAGCCATTGAAATAAAAATTACATACAATAAAAATGACTTGTCTAGCGGAAGTTTATTTAAAGCTAATTCACAACTTTTATACAAATACATTGTTATATCAAATAGTCGACTCGTAAATGTTTGCACTTTATATGCAACACGATGTGATTTAACTGTACCGTACTCTAATTCTAAATTTACTCCTAGTTTGCAGTCTGAAGAATGAACGAATATAAATATAACAGGAGTTGAACTTCACGTCTTCACCTATAATCATGTTTTTTTAAAATTTATTGGATGAAGGGGCCACATGAGGGTGCGTACTATACAGTATTGATAGTGCTGTATAAAGTGCAGTTTCAGCAGTTGTTTACATGTAAATAGACATAAAAATAGAAGTTAGACAACTTACCACTTACTTCTACCTTACTACCAATTTCGTTCCAAATGTCTTTTTTCTTACGGGCATCTTTAAACATGGGATGAGACTTGTTGTAAAGCACAGGATTCCTCTGTACTTCGAGAATTAGCTGTTCTTCATCCATGTTGCGCCATACTCAAGGGGTTATGAGTGGGTAGTATAGGTGAAAGGGGTTAATTATGGATAAAGCAGGAAACAATTAATTGTAAACAAACACACTGATTGGTCAAAAAATTTATCGTTATCGTCCGACTGAAAAAAAATCGCTCCAGCGAGCGATTTCAAAATCGTTATCGTCTAACGATAATTTTATCGTTATTGTTGTAGTGTGACCACCAGCATATATTTTATATGTGAACGATTTTATTTATCGTTATCGTATCGTTATCGTTGCCTAGTGTGACCGGCCCTTAATACTCCAAGAATCTTGGAGTATTTGCCTGACATGTGACCAGCATTTACCAGGGCCTCGCCCGCAATTGGCAGCCATATTAGAAAATTGGGCGGGTAGGCCCTGGGTACAAGGTTGATAATAGCAATGCTGGAGATGGGCAAGATATGGTTGAAGCGAGACAAAGCCAAGAGCAGGAGGTACCACTGATAAGTGGAAGGACAAGGGGAACTAAAACAGGCACTGAAATGGGAGGTAAAAGCCAAGGGGGGAAAGCTGCTCCTCAGAAATCTGCAACAAAACAAAAAAGTCATTAGGAGTGGACAAAAAGTAGAAACAAATCGAAATAAACATAAACCTTTCTTTGCCACAGCCCTGGAAGAAGATGTCTGGTGAATTGAGATGCTTCTCATGTTGTGTAAAGAATCTTTACCCCGCCATTCAATTAAGTACCTTTTTAGGGATAAGAGTGATGTCATTTTTGGAACATTTGTCGCACACCAGTTGTCGTGTGATCTTTTGAGAATAATACTGGGATGGCATCAGCAAAGTGTATAAAAAACGAAGTTTTATATTTATTTTAAAATGGAAAGTTTATGTGATATGTTTGCTGCAATGAGTATTTCTTTGGAGGTGCCAAACAACTTGGTTGTGGATGAAGTATCTTAGGAAGTGAAGAATGTTTGTGATTTGATGAATGCAGTGTTTTTCGATGTGGTGACTTGTGAAATTCGGAGATTATTGAAGGAGAAATGTCCCGGCTGCAAAGTCAATCATCCGAGTCAGAGGAGACACAACTGTGCATGGTTTGGAGGCAGTGGAGCATATGTGATTGAGCATGGAATTTTGAAGAAACAGTTTTTTGAAGCTATTCAAGTGATGAAATTGCAATATTCAGTCCTTGAAACTCAGGTCGGCATTAAGCAATGCCGACCTGCAAAGCGATATGTGTACTTTCAAATACGTCTCAGCATTTTTTTCCGCGAACACCTCTTTCACATACACATTTTCAATGATGATGTTGTAATTATCAGGTTTTGATGATTTGAAAACTTTGAAAAGTAAACATACGTGTTAAAATCGTTGAGCTTCAAGATTTAATCTTGAGAAAGTATAGCATGGTAATAAAGTAGTGTGCTTGTATGTCACAACATTTGGTCACAACATGCATGTACTGTTTGATTGGAGTTCATACATTTTGTTTGTTGTTTTGTTTGCTATGTTGACATTGATTGCAATTAATTGCTGTTTATAAATACAAGTATTTGCAGCAAACAAATTAAATTTTCATTCGGATATTTTCTATTTGTTTTGAAAATATTTGCTGACCTAGATTGAGAATTATCGCTTTTAGGTCAGCAATTTCTTGCCAACCTGAAATTTCGGGAGTTTCAAGGACTGAGATATTACGATCTGTGTGAAGGAACATTATGCGAACTTGACGAAAGATCATGAAGTAGCACTTGATTTTTTGGGGAATTTGAGAGGAAGTTTTTCTGATTATCAACCCATTTTGAACTACCTGATGTATTGGAGCGAGGAACATTGTGCATAAGACACCGTTTAGGAAAAAAGTTATGTATTGTCGTTATAAGAAACATTAATTTATAAAGTTGTAAAAAGAATTTTTAACAGAGATTTTTGTAAAACTATTAATGTTTTTTGAGAACAAAGATTTTACAATTTACTGAGTTGTTCTTGTAGTTTATTTTCTAAATGTTTCTGATACGCTTTCTTGTGATCCGTTTCGCAAGATTTTAATGTTTCCTTTGTCTCTTTGACATAATAGGTGTATCAGGGCAGTGAGCTGAAACACTGAGCATAGGATTCCAGGGGATAAGTTTGTGGATTCCATAAATCACATAGTAATGGTTGATTGTCTTGATATACTCGTAGTAAAGTGTAAACAAAGTTTTGATCGGGTTCTTGCAAATACATCGAGTGTTGTGTGAAATCTTTATGATTTTCTACGTTTATGATTTTCTACATTTTGGATTTTGATGGCAGCTGTGAATTCATTCCATGTGGAGGACGCGTTGTTAGCTTGTTCTATAGCATTCAACCCCTGCATTATCCAAGTTTTGTGTTTGTCCATCATTAGACCATCTTGTTCCTATACTTTACCAACCACAGCAGCATTCATTGCATATTTTTTGAACTTCGCATGCTACTGTCTCAGCGTAAATTACTTCCAGTAAGTGAAATATTTAACCATTCATAATCAGAGTCGGTGTACAACTGTTTGCTGTGCATTTTGACAAGTTTAAGATATACTTTTTAGAGATTATACTTATGTTTGAAAAAAGAACGTTTTGAGGGATTAAAAAATTAGCGTGTGCTTACGTAAAATTTAATTTATTTAATGTATAGCATTTGTTCCATGACATTTGTTGCATAACATGTTTGTTCCTTGTCGCATAGCGTTTGTTCCATGACATTTCCAACGTAACGTGTTTGTTCCATGACATTTGTATGATTTGGCTGGATTAGTAGGTGTGACCTTAACCTTGATCTTGGAAGCCAGCTACTTCGATATACTTTTGGCGCCATGATACTTTTGGATTGGAGGATACTTTTGGCGCCATGACGATGCACATAAATGTGTGTGACAAAGCGTTTTGGGGAAAAGCAAAGAGCAGAGGCGGAGAGCAGGAGTGGAAAAAGAAAGCGAGGAAGTAGTGAATATGGATAGACGTGAAAAGCACAACGAGAGACCCAGGAGGTAAGGGCAAGGTGTAGAGAGCAAGAGGAACAGGGAGCTCACATATTTGCTCAAGTTTTATGGGGTTATGTTGGACAGCTGTTTTACAGCTGTCGCTTTTTATGAAATGATGAGGATTTACAGGGGCCGTACTGAATCGTATCTGGAAGATATGGTCAAGTTGCAGGAGATTTTGCGGGTGCTGAATCTTCAGTGAAAACAGACTAGAAAAAACGGCTCTTTTAAGAACCACCAAATGTATGAAAGAACATAAGCGGTTCAAAATGAAATTGTGTATGAATTTTTTTATGTAGGTGAATTCTTTGCAAGGGAATTTTTATGCAGGTAAATTGAATAGTTACAAGGAAATGTTTATATGTTTCATTGAATATTTATGAGGGAATTTTTGTGTGAATTGAATATTTATAAGGCAGTTTTTTAACATGTGAGGCAAGTGCAAATATCCTATTCATTTCAAGTGCAAATATCCTATTCATATGATGCTTGTGATGTTACTCTGAGTGTATATCCACACCGGGCAAGCTTGAAAAATATGCCTGACCACGGTGGGAATCGAACCTATGACCTTTGGAATGCTAGCCCAATGCTCTGCCAACTGAGCTACGTGGTCTGGTCGGTTCGAGTATGTGATACTTCGGAACAGAATCTAGTTCCTTCGATATCAATGTAATCTAGTAATAATGATATTTTCTGTGTTGGTGCAATGTACTCAGGTGAATAAGATGCTTGTGATGTTACTCTGAGTGTATATCCACACCGGGCAAGCTTGAAAAATATGCCTGACCACGGTGGGAATCGAACCTACGACCTTTGGAATGCTAGCCCAATGCTCTGCCAACTGAGCTACGTGGTCTGGTCGGTTTGATTATGTCATACTTCGGATATAATGCTAGCATTCCAAAGGTCGTAGGTTCGATTCCCACCGTGGTCAGGCATATTTTTCAAGCTTGCCCGGTGTGGATATACACTCAGAGTAACATTGCAAGCATCTTATTCACCTGAGTACATTGCACCAACACAGAAAATATCATCCTATTCATATATTTGTTGGTTCCTAAAAGAACCACGTTTTTTCGTCTTTACAGCTGCTCTTCCAGCCACAATCCGTACGCTTCCACTTCGGGACAGTGCTGGTACGCGTCGACTATCAAGTGTTTTCCACAGTTTTTGGGCTTTTGGACAACCGAAGCATTCTAGGGTTACGGATGGAATGTTGAGGTCTGCCGGCAGGTTTTTTTCGTAATGCCCACCCTTGTATGCAATGAGTGAGTTCTTGCGCATGTTATCGTAGAGGTTTCTGACTGTTTCCTCTAGGGCTGATAGCGGGATGGCATTGATTCCAGCTGGCACATCAAACGAGAGTTTGTGGATGTGGGTCTGTACGTATTTGCACATAAGGTCTTTTGGTGTCAGATCACACCATCACAGACCGATGTCAAAAAAGGACTGTGCTGTATCATCTGCAGCTTTTAGGAAGCCGAGTTGTTTGCAGAGAAATTTCCCATTTACAGAAAATCCATCCATATCGATAATTGCAGTGATATCCGTAAGACAGTAAGACATTTTGAAATGTTGAACACACACTTTTTACTTCGCTATATAACATTTTAATAGAGTTGTCACATAACACTTGTCACATAACATTTGTCGCATATCTTTTTTCATGTGACACTTGTCGCATAGTGTTTGTTCCATAACATTTGTCGCATAACACATATGATTTGGCGGGTTGAGTTTTTGTATAAAAGGCAAGTAAAGTGTTTATTTTAAAGTTATAGCGATGGAGTGTATGCATGGAAAACCCGCTTCCAATTCAACTACAGACAAGGGTGCCTTTTGGTTTTGTGGACAGAAGCCCAGCTGTGGATTTATATGTACAGAAGAGGATGGTTATCTTGTTCCAGACAGCTCTGACAGCTTGGAGGGCCACAGGTTTGACACAGCCAATATCCACAGCTGAACTGAAACATTTATAAGCATTTAACATAATTAAAAAACTTTGTATTATCAATTTTGTTTAGGAATATATATTTGAAACGTTTTAAACTGTGTGTTCATTTACTGCTGCTGCAATAGAGCAGGTACCAGACGAGCTTTGGGAAAAATTATGTTGACATGAGAACAATGTCCCATCATGTCAAATATTTGTTTGAGCTGTGTAATGAGATGCACATTGTTTTTTAACACACTTGGTGGTTCTCACACTTTATGCATAGCTATCAAATTGTTTATGTAACTATTGGAAAATAACTGATTCATTAGCTTACATAGTTTAAACTAATATATATTTACATACATGAAAGGAGGAGATATTACAGCCAGAATTTAAACAGTCTACAGAAAATATAGGTCTGGAAAAATGTTGACCAATTCATTTCCTAACTTGAAGGAACACCTCTGAACAATTCCTCAACAATTTGATAAGTTCCTTAAAAAAGTTCCTAAACTTCCTGTTTCATTGACCAATCAAATTTTATTTTTGAGTAATCTAATTGGTCAATGAAACAGGAAGTTAGGAACTTTTTAAGTAACTTATCAAATTGTTGAGCAATTGTTCAGAGGTGTTCCTTCAAGTTAGGAAATGAATTGGTCAACATTTTTCAGAATGCTTCTACTGGCACGACTGTAATTCTACAAGTAATTACATCAATGGGAAAACAGACTTTGCTTTTGTGTAAACCCACATTTGCCTGTGGAAAACAAGCATATGCTATGTCAAATAATTATTAAGAATATGATCTTCCCCGGTCAAGCAGATCGAAAAATGATCGCTTAGGGCAGGGTATCATATAAATAGCAGGTATTATAGTGTACACAAAATGTTAATTTAACCGGAAGCTGTCCTGCAAGCTCTATAAAACACGCCCCCATTTACAATAAACGAAACAAAATATGAACTGTGAAACACTGTCTGTAAGGCAAAAGTAAACTATACTTCTGATTCATTAGGATAATGTAGTATTTCACTTCCTGAAGAGTCGGATGGGGAGATGGTGCCAAGTTCTTTCAGCGCTATCATGTTGTTAATATAAACAGCTCTTCTTCACGATACAATATGATGCCAGAGCAACATATATCACTGAAGCTGTTGATGTTGCGATCGTGATAAGGGTGATGAGTAGCCAGTGCTCTCTTGTTTCAGTCATAGGAGAGACAGAAGTAGTGGTGGAGGTAGTAAGCTGTGGGGTGGAAGTGGGGCAGTTGTTGTTAGGACAGTCACTAAGCACAAAATCAAAGATACTTGGCTCCAGCACAGAACAGTCCAGAGGGTTCCCTCGTAGATCTATGAGCGTCGCATTCAGAAACTCTATCCAGAACCTTGAGATGTTAAAACAGGTGATGTTCTTTCTGAAGTCGGCCAACAAAATAATGGGGGGGGGGGATTACTAAAAGAGGATTGGTTAATTAAAGTGCATATGACATGGATTTTTTTATTTTCTTAAATGAAAGAACTCTTTAAGCTGTAGTGTAACTTATTTTTCAGTTTCTTGTTTTTATGGTTTGTCCTGAGATATTTCAATTTGTTTGGTATGTAAATGTTTGAATATCATGGCTATCATCCAAGATGATAATTTCTAACTTTACTCACTGATAAATGTAATGAAACACTGGAGAAAAACGTTAATTGATATCTACAGCTTTTAGAGCTAATAGTTCAATGTGAAATTCATACACCTGTGAAATAACAATGGGACGCGTAGTCACTTTCTTCTCAGAATTGTCTTTTTTGCAATATTGGCATACAAAAGGATCATCTGTGGCTTAGGACTGTGACTACCATTGCTGACAGTTTAATGCACTTTTGTTGTTGTTCATGATGGAACCAGTTTTTGCAGACATTGCAGTGGACCATTTCAGCTCCAGGAACATGTTTCAAACAGGTGCAATAAATGCTCTCACAGCCTACTAGCTCTTTGGGAAAATGACAACCTCATCGTGAGGAAACATTTCAATTCTTTTTTGCTCAAAACAATTATGAAGATGCTCACACATTTTGTCTTGATGCCATGAAACTGTCTCAGGGTTGATTCCATTTGCAATACTTAAAAGAGTCTGCACCGCCAATCTGCTGCTGTTGAAGAACAACTGTGACATTGAAAGAACCATCGTTATTGGCAAGCCCTGTGTACAAATACACTGAAGGCCCACACAGACCGAACGTGATTCAGCAACACGACGCGAATTTTCATTTTTTAAAAACAAATAAAACCGTCAACGGATAAAAATTTTACAAGATATGCAGAGCAAATAGCTAAAATTGCTTAAGTGGTTTCGAATATTTGCAAAACATTGAAAAATATTAAAGTTAAATTTGCGTTGTGTTGTCAAATCGCATCCGGTCTGTATGGGCCTTGACTGTCATTTTAAGGAATTATTTAAGTTCTTAGTTAAGCTGTCAAAAACAGCAACATCGCCGGAGACAGAGCTTGATGTCACCCAATGCTGTAATTACTTTTCGCGACTTGCTCATGACAGATTTCTTGGGTGACAGAGATTTATCCTTAAGGGCTATTCCATTCTCTCGGCAATAACACATTATAGTGTAGAACGTCTGTGATCTTTTTAAAAAATTTTTCCAAAACATCTCTTTCCGTTAGAATGCATAACTGATCGTGTGGAGATTTAAGAGCTTGTACACACTGCTGCTGAATGTTAGACCTTTTTTTCGGAGGAACACTTGCCATAACTGAGTTGCTTCTGTCTGATGAACTTTCATCCTTTTTAGGAGTATCCTGTGATATGCTGTCATCACTGCTACTTGCCTTTGAATCAAGAGGTTCTATTCTCAGCATTACTGATATCTAAATACTCCAGATTGCAATGGGATTATTACACTGTTATAAAGCAATCAATGTAATCTGTCATAAAATAATGTTAAATAATAATAACATTTACATTACCCCTCTCAATCTGTTAACACAGACAGATTTCCTGGCTGATGTTGACCATATTATCGGGGTCTTTTTAATGTTCGGTATCTATGTACCATGCCTGAGACAAAATGACAAGCACCAATGAATTTGTGCCTGTCATGAAACAAAATGTACTGGTCATTGTAGCAGTCTGCCAAAAACATAGGGTACAAAATATGCAATGGTTAAAATCATTAAATACACAGAGATTACTGCATGGTTGGTGAGCATGTATGATTGTTATGCACAAGTCATGAAAGATTGCAAATGAGTGATTGAGCAAAGCGAACAAGTGAGTTTATCAATCTTTCACAACAAATGCATATAAAAAACCAACCAAGTCAGTTATTTTCTTCGATATTTTAATTTTTTCGTTGAATGAACACTGCAAATACTAATGGGATCATGGAATATTGATTTAAACAATTATTCAACAAAGCGTGCAACACCTGCAAGTCCTGTATGTGGCATCCATTAGACACATTTGTTGGCCAAATAAAAGTAGACATTTCATCCTTCGGGATTGTTAAACAAAAGGGAACCTGGATTGGGATTGATTGCCTTGTGTTGATGGGTAAATGAAGAAGAAAAGTGCATCAAATAAAGCCTTACAATTAATCCTCGTGTTTTATACAAGTATTTTTTTGCTGTAAAAAGTTTTTAAAAATCACTATAAATGCAATCACTTACCCTAAAAAAGTATCTGGATTCATTTCCTGCCACTCCTTCAATGTCAAATCCAAATTAATCACATCATCTGGCATTTTTCGATTACCAATGCTCGATGCATAAAAGATGTTTCAAATATCACCATCCATCTGTTGGATAGTAACATTCAGATGGAAGATCCTTGCCCCAAAACAGCTCATGAATGTATGCAAATGAAGCCGGACCTCTACTGCACTATGTGCACCAGTAACTTCCATTTCTTTCATTTTCTTCACAATAAGTGGATCTATTGGTTCATGTAGACCTGGCCCCTAATTGATATAAAAAACCCTTTGGGTCATTGTGTCAAATATAAGTGAAGTTGTAGAAGATTGACACAAAAAATATTTGAGAATAAGACTTGGTGTGGTTAACCACATTTAGCATTTAATTTCCAGTTATAATGGCTACACATGATTTAAAATTGGAAACAAGCACTTTTGTGTCACGACACACCCATGGTGCCACCAGCAAAGAGTATGGATGTGTGTTATGACACAAGCAAAGTAATTTGTTTGTCAGTTAATAGCTACAAAAAGACAAAAGGTAATAGTATACCTCTCCTGCTGTATGGAATTCATGACTTTCCACACCACATAGTTTCAAGAGAAACTGGTCAGTAACTTTCCGTTTCTTTTGTGGTCCACCTTCAACAGACTTGCAGCTTGTCTCATTTTTCTGGCTGGCTTTTCCCCATTTTGCCTGACAACAACCTAGGTATTTGTCAATAAATTTCATTTAACCTTAAGCCCACCGCACTTGTCGCGAGTACTTGTTATTTGTGACAAGTTGGATCGACAAAATTTCCTCGTGTGCGGGCAACATTTACGGTGTTTTCGTCATTCGTGACATGTAAACCAAATATCAAACATGTACAAGTATGCACAACAAGTGCGCTTGTGTGCGGCGGGCTTTGCAATTGAAATGAAGGAATGTGCACAATAAAATCACATTTTGAAAAATGGTATGTCTGTTACTCCATAAATACTAGGAGCTAACAAGAGTCCAGCCTTTTATTATTATTATTATTTATTTTGCCAAGTAAAAAGTTTACATAATTACAATGCTATAAAAACAATGTGAAGGGCTAGGGATCTTAATGAAACCCTTTTCAGGCTTTTTGGTAAGAGGTCCCTAGTTTTACAATGTTCATAAGAATATTTTTTTTATAGTCGAATAGAATATTTACAAGTAATGATTATAACATAACTAAGTATTAAGAAGAAGAAAAGTTTAATTCAACTAAAAATGATTTTTCTATATACAAGACATGAAGGCTCTGTGTTTTCCCAGGTTGACAATCTTGCCAAGATCCCAGCAAGATCTTGACAAGATCTTACCCAAGATCTTACCAAGATCATGCCAAGATCGTACATAAATCCTGCAAGATCATGGAAAGATCTTGCAAGATCTTTCCAAGTTCTTGCAGGATCTTACCTAAGATCTTGCAGGATCTTGCAAGATCTTGCCAAACATCTTGTAAGATCTTGCCATGATCATGACAAGATCTTGCCATGATAATGGCAAGATCTTGCAAGATCTTGCCATGATCATGACAAGATCTTGCCATGATAATGGCAAGATCTTGCAAGATCCTGCAAGAACTTGGAAAGATCTTGCAAGATTTATGTAAGATCTTGGCATGATCTTGGTACAAATCCTGCAAGATCTTGCCATGATAATGGCAAGATCTTGCAAGATCTTAGGTAAGATCCTGCAAGAACATGGAAAGATCTTGCAAGATCCTGCAAGATCTTAGGTAAGATCCTGCAAGATCATGGAAAGATCTTGCAAGATCATGCAAGATCTTTCCATGATCTTGCAGGATTTATGTAACATCTTGGCATGATCTTGGTACAAATCCTGCAAGATCATGCCATGATTCTCCAAGATCTTACCACAAATCATTGAAGATCTTGCCATGATCCTCCAAGATCTTACCAAAATCCAGCAAGATCTTGCCATGATCTTGCCAAAAATCCTGCGAGATCTTGCCATGATCCTCCGGGATCTTACCAAAAATCCTGCGAGATCTTGCCATGATCCTTCAATATCTTAAATACAGAATGAAGAGGCTCTACATGAAATATACTATACTCTGGATATAACTTTGATTGAATTTATCAAACTGACGTAAAAGTCGGTCTTTATTAAATTGTAATAAATTAGTTCATCCAAATTATAATACTCAAGCTTTTACCTGGTTTAGTTTGCATAGTAAATGTAGTAAATTAGGCCAATAATGTTGGTAAAATATTATCAATATCTATGGCGATTGAAATAAAGTCCGAATGAAAGTTCCACCTTGCTCAATATTTGAGAGAAAACAAAAGGAATCTTGTCTGTTCTTAATAATGTTGTTCTAAAGAATTGAGTTTCAAGATGGAACTTTTATTCGGAGGTTGTTTCATACTTTACTTCATGAAATTATATTAGCATTGACACCATTGTTATTGCAAGTTCTTCGATTTTGTTTTTCTTCGCATATCGCGGCACTTTTGAATTTTGATTGCACGTATCCACGATAATTTGGCGTGTTTACTGTTTTCTGTACTTTTTCTTCGCCATACTTGGCGTTGAGGACAGCTATATCGTAAAAAAAGACTGTGTTAAAGTAAGTCTATTTTTTGTATTTAAGTTCATTTCAATGTTTACCCAAAACACATTGCCATTGGCAAAGAAAACTAGTACTTTTAATTAACACATACTGTGGCAACTTAGACTAAATTTTGTATATATCTGTTCACAGCTGGCCAGTTAATTTTTCTTCAAGTCAAATCACATATATTATTCTTACCAAACAATTTAGTGACCCTGTTGGGATCTAGTGCTGGTTTTGGAGATCTTTTTGACTGGAATAGTATTCCATCCTGGAGCTCTTCCGAAAGTCCAATAATTTGATTGCACATTTTGATGGCTCTTTTGGTGGTGCATTTACGGTCATCAAATTAATGTCATTGTGCCACTAAAATGAATTAACAATACTTGATATTAAATCACTGTAGTTGAATTATTTTTAAGTAAAAACGATAAATTACACATGTATACACTCATACTTACTATCTCGATCTCTGTAGTTTCTTTTTGGGCCATAGCTTTATCATTTGGGGATGCCTTCACCATGTTTTCCTAAATAATATTTGAAGTAACAAATTTTGAATAATACACATGTCGAATAATCATAGCTCAAACCATTAATTTTATATGAAAGATCTCTATATTTTATCCTAGCTTCACTGGTTGGCATAATGAAACTTAAGTACTTAACTCACTAATGAAACTCACATTTATTCCGTAGTGTGAAATTGCGTGTTCCTATGCGGTGCATTTACGATGTTTGCGCACCGGACCTGTCTTCACTACGGTTATCAGGGCATTTCAGTAGCGCAAAAGCTGTGTAATAAATATAAGACTGTGTGAATATAATAATTTTTGGTCCCAGGGGTATTCTCAACGGCTTTGTCATTCTTAACAAAACGTTAAACTAGGCATTATCACGTTTTTAAAGCAACGTAAAAGCTTATTGTAACCAATGAAGAGGTGTTATTAAAATTATTTAAAGTCGAAATTACAGCAAGCATTACATCTCTTTAGCCGATTAACTTAGCCATTTGTAAGGTTATTTGAAAAAGCTTGAAACATTTATTACATGTGGTAATCAAATTGCTTAGCGCTCATTCATTCAATATACAAATAATGTGTTACAAAATAGGTTGTAAGCACTTACTTTTTATTTAAGACAGCTCGACAAGTTATCCTTTCTTCTTTAGTGCAGCAACAAAGTCGAGGAACAGAAGTATAAACTGCCGTGTACCTTGTATGTTTACTTATAAAACGCACCTTGGGGCTTTTACAAACGGTTGTCTACCACAAATATGCGAAAAATGCGCAGATAACAAGATTTACAGATATTGATTAATTGATCTCATTTCAGTCATTTGGATCTGGCACGCAAAGGTGCGAGAGCAACTGTGCGCGTAAAAGCCTCCTTTCACAAGGATCTTTCAAAATCATGGCATTTTTGGTATGATCATGGTAAAATCATGACAAGAGATTGTGTCAAGAACTTTCAAGATAGATAAGATCTTGGCAAGATCATGCTGGGATCATGGTGAGATCTTGACAAGATCTTCCAAGACCATGGCAATATTATAGTAGAATCTTGGCAATATTGTGATAAGATCTTAGCAAGGATCATGATGGGATCTTGAAAAGATCCTCCAAGATCATGGCAAGATTACATTAGGATCTTGGCAAGATTTTGGTAAGATATTGGCAAGATCATGCTGAGATCTTGGCAAGATCATGGTGAGATCTTGTCAAGATCTTCCAAGACCATGGCAAGATTATAATAGAATCTTGGCAAGATTGTGATAAGATCTTAGCAAGGATCATGAAGGGATCTTGACAAGATCCTCCAAGATCATGGCAAGATTACAATAGGATTTTGGTAAGATATTGGCAAGATCATGCTGAGATCTTGGCAAGATCATGGTGTGAGATCTTGTCAAGATTTTCAAGACCATGGCAAGATTATGGTAGGATCTTGGCAAGATTTTGATAAGATCTTGGCAAGATCATGGTGGAATCTTGGCAAGATTGTCCAAGATCATGGCAAGATTATGATAGAATCTTGGCAAGATTGTGATAAGATCTTAGAAAGGATCATGGTGGGATCTTGGTAAGACATTGGTTGAATCTTGATCATGGCAATATCATGATAGAGTATTGGCAATGTTGTGATATATGTGATTGGTTTGATCAAGGTTCATTATACCTATACTTATGAAGGTCGAAAAATACAACTCAGCAAGAATTATGTATGACGAAAAATCATGAAAGATCTTGGCAAGATCTTGACAAGAATTTCAGACAATCTTGGCAAGATTTTGGCAAGTATGGCAAGATTGAATAATCTTGGCAAGATATTGGTAATATCTTGGCAAGATCTTGCCAAGATCAGTGTCTTGCCAAGACCTTGCCATGATCTTCCAAGATCATGCAAGATCTTACAAGATCTTGCCAAGATCTTCAACCTGGGTTCTGATGCGTATATACAAACATTACGACTAGTTTGATGACAATCAAGTATATTCCAAAAAGAATATCTTTGATTTTATTTTGAAAGTTAAATAAGACCTATTAGTATAAATTTTGCATATCAAATGAGCTTTCGCGCGTTCTGATTAGCTAGTTGACTAGTAAATCTGAGGCATTATTTACCACCTGGGTAGTAAATAATGCTTTTCAAAAAGAATGATTCGGCAAATTTGGTTTCAAAATCGACAAAATATTGAAAAAATGGTCCCAGAAAAAGAAAAAAAGCACAAAATGTTGTATTTAACTTGAAAGGTAGGATTTAGTATTATATTACTGTGTCAAACATATTCACGGACAATTTAAAACTTATTTAAAACTCCGAATCTTTCGCTTCAAACGTAAATCTGAAATAGCAAAAAATATCCCGACTTTTGGGAAAAGCCGTGATATTCTTTTTAAAACAATTTTGTTTTGCATCCTATAAATATCTCAATTTGTACGATACTATTTCTTTTGACTATGTCGTGTTTTCATTGTGCTGTATGGTGTCCTTTCGCTGTATTGTACTATTTGTGTTTTTAAAACTTGTAAAGTGAAAAGTGTATTAATTAAAACTTTTATATTAATTCGAACGATATAGTTTTACATTTCATTTTACCAAATTTCTCAGCCATTTCCTGAACAAATTAATGCTAAACAGAAACTATTTTTTAATTCTAAGTCTGGTAAAAAAGTCATTCCATCATTGTGTTTATATTCTAAGCAGAAATCGAGAAAAATAACTTTGTAATAAAGCAATAAAGTCGCACAGGAAGCCATTTTGAAAGCGTGCGTGTACAAGAAACACTGCAACACTAAATCGTAAACCGGTCGAAAACAGTTTTATTTCTGAATTTTAATTAAACTTATAGTTGGATAACTTGGATATTTTGTTTTATTCATTAAAAATTTATACTAAAACAATTATTCGCCTCAGGCTCAGTGGTTACGGTCACCGGTAATCACTTCGCCTTCGGCGAATAATTGTTAAATATTGCTTATCTTTTCATCAAGAGAATTCCATATTTCAATGCCCTTGTTAATAACAGTATGTTTGGCATAATTGGTTCTTTTGCATTTCGAGTATTATAACAATGTATTTCACTATTCCGCGTGAAGTAATTATTAAAAAATTCAGGTAAATTTTGGAAGTATTTAATATGGTACATGAATAAGCAACTTAGATAATCATTGATCTTAAAAATATTTAAAATCTTCAACTTGTGAAATAATGGTTCAGTGTGTTCAAGATAGGATTTGAAGGTGGATCAGTCTAATAATTTTTTTCTGTACATTCAGCAACTTTTGAAGCCTTGTTGGGTATGTGTTTCCCCATGTTAGATTCCCATAAGTACGAAATGGATAAACCAATGCATAATAAATTAATTTTAGCGTATTTCTGTTTGTAAAATGTTGTAGTTTTGCAATAAGTGCAGTGGCTTTAATTATATTTTTCAAAACTGAGTTTATATGGTTCTTCCACATCAGATTTTATTCTATTACTACACCTAAAAATTTTACATGACAAACCTGTTGTATTGTGTTATGATTTAGTTGAATATTAATTTCAGTGTCGCATTTCTTGTTGCTTGATTTAAAAATAATATATTTAGTTTTTGTTGTATTTATTGATAATTTATTCACATTAAGCCAATTAGTTACTTTATTCATTTCTTCTTGCATGATGTTTGTTAATGATTTCAGATTTTTATCAGAATAATAAGCATTAGTGTCATCAGTATACATAACAAATGAAATAATTTTACTGCAATTTTCAATGTCATTAATATATAAGAGAAAAAGTAGTGGTCCAAGAATTGATCCTCGCGGAACTCCTGTAGATATTGTCCTTTTGTTTGAGCTATGATTACCAATTCTAACAATTTGCGTTCTTTTGTATAAGTAGTTTTCAAACCATTTAAGACAATTTCCTCTTATACCATAATGTTCAAGTTTTTTTAA